TGGACACCAGACTGAAGAATGCGTTGATCCTCACGGACACTTGTTCCACCAACACAGGCGTGGACCTTGACACCGAGGTAATCACCAAGAGCCCTCATAACCTTTTCGATCTGCTGAGCGAGCTCTCTGGTGGGTGCCAGAACAAGAGCTTGGCACTGAACAAGAGTGTAGTCAAGCTGCTGTAAAACGCCGGAGCAGAAGGTAGCGGTCTTTCCGGTTCCAGACTGAGCTTGCTGGATCACATCAAGACCCTTGCAGAAGGGAATGATACCTCTCTGCTGAATAGCAGAAGGCTTCTCAAAACCTGGAATCAGGTTGCAACTTAGATTACAGAAGCACAATGAGTATGAGTAAGAGCAATGTTACAAAAGCTGAAACTATTTTCTCAAAAATATGATTCATACAACTTAGAACAGTTTAAACTGTTTTAAATTGGTTAAAATTAATCTAAATCAATATAAATCTGTTAAATTTAATGTTAGTGCAAATCCACAAATTTGTCTAGTTTATTTTTTTTGTAATTTTTATAATTCATTAAAATAATTTTATATTAAACTCAAAAAGTAAAATATATATAAAAAAAATCAATAATTTACGAAGTGCCTGCCTAACCATTTTTTTAACATTGTGTAAGAGTGACAATAAGCTTTGAAATAACTAAGACAGAACCTAAAGTATACAATGAAGGTAATAAGATGTGTTATGTCTCACTAACCGTAGGCATAGATGCCTCTGAGGAGATCAGACCTGAGTTCCATAGCATCAAAGCTATCACACACTTCATCATAGGTCGTGTAGAAAGTTTCCTCTCCTTCCTCACCGAGTCTGCAAAAAAAGATCATTAGGACTCAGTTCTTGGTTATCTACTTAAGTTAATACAGTGATTCAAATGGTTAAAAGAACTTACATTGCATTCATCTTAGAATCAAACTGACGTGGATCATATTGTGTTCCTTCTGACGCCATTCCTGCCATGACTGGGAGATACATAAACACAAAACCAAAACGACATCGTAAGAAACCAAAAAAAAAAACAAAAAAAAACATATTTTAAGAATCACACAAAACAAAAACATTCAGTTTATCAATCTAACTCGTTGTCTGAGATCCGACAACAAATGAAACCAAAAATGAATCCAAATCTGCATTGTACAAAAACTAGATCTACAACGAATCAGCATTGCGTAGGATGAAATGAACCTATACAAGAATCCAAACACACACAAAGTATATATATATAGAGAGAGAGATTAAAACAAACCTGATGTTAGCGAAGTGAGGAAGAGAGATCTAGAGAGAGAGAGAAGAAAGGTTCAAAAGAGAGAAAGCAGAAACTCCTCGGATCTGCGCCGTGGAGTTGAAGAAGAAAGAAAGTAACTGTTTCTGCTTTATATACCTTCCACTGTCTTCCTTTTTTTAGGTTTGAAAACGAATACTACTTTTTTAACATTTTATTTCCCGGTTTGCCCTCAAGATTTTTTCTTATAATTACGACTTTTTCACTATTTTGTTTTTTTGGGCAAAAAACAAATTGGATAGTTTATCTTTAAATATTTTTTTCATGTTTACTCACAAGTATAAGTATTTTTTAAAAAAAATTGTAACATGATAAAAAACTGTATTGTCTTTCAGAAAATAATGTATAAATCATTTTAGTTTTTGGTATTTTGTTTTGTGAAGTTATGTTTATACATATATAAGTAAATTATTTTTAAAATTTCTACATATGTACTTTTATTTATTTTGTTTTGGAAAAATAAAAAAAATCATAAAAGTAAAAGTCGTTTATATATTAAAAATCTGTAACTTAAATTTTATATATTTTTAATTTATATGATTTTGCAAAAACTTAAAAGTAAATTAAACATTCAATAAGAAAAGGATATAAAAATAATTTTACTAAAGACGATCAATAAATATCCGTTCTTTAATTTATTTATGTAGTTAAACATTATAAGAATTAATAAGCGCAGGAGACAAAAACATGTCTTCTCAAATATAAATATATATATATATTTAAAAAGATTAGAATATTTTAAAAGCCATTATTCCAATGATATAAGAACCATTAAAAGGAAGAAAATATCATAAATAATATAAGTGAATATATATTAATCATTAATTTGAACATCTGATTCTATCATAAATTTTTAATGTTAGGAGTAGTCTTAAAATAAATAACTAATTGAAATATTAATTTTAAAATAATAATTCTAACACTTTTTTTTTAAATAACATAAAAATAAAAATGGTTAAATATGTATAAAATTATTAGACAAACTAAACTAAATATAGTTAACAAAGTTAATCTATTTTTGTCTATTTAAAATGTAAAACAATTATAGTTTAACTCATACGGATAAATGTAACCTAATGTATATAAAAATTAGTCAGTCATTGATATCTTATACATAAATAAGACAACATCATAACATCTCATTATTAACTAATATTTATTTTCATGTGACTAAAAACATTACAATAATAACAAATTATGATTAAGTAAAAGAGAAAATGGAAATTCTTAGTAATAGCAGTATATAAAACTACCAATTCAAAAATGATATTTGTTACTTTTTGTTATTTGTTGAGAAAAGTACAATGACATTCTTATATAATATATGGTATATCTTATATATCTTATATATAAGTATTTATTATCTTATATGTATATAATTTTGTTTCTATTATAAAATTAAAAATAAATTTTGTAAGTTTAAAAAATAATTTGGTAATATTTAGTAAATATTTATTAATTTTTTTGTAATTTTAGTAAAAATAATAATTATATATTACACATATTTTCATTACTTACAATATATTTTTATTAATATAACAGACTACTTTTATCATGAAAGATAAATACTAAACTATCTAAGTTCATAGATATTTTCATTAAAGGGTCACATTTTACCACGGTATATTTGTTTAATCTTCCTATTTGCTTAGATCTTCCATCCGAGTTTAGTATCGTAGAAACACGAGTTTCTGGTCATTTCTATAACGAATTGTATAGGATATGTTCATTTCAGATTTCATAAGAGTTAGTTAAACATCTATATTATTTATTAATACATAAAATATTTACATTTATCTATTTTATATATAAATCTAATTAAGATAATTTTTTCAAATATATATATTTAATAATAACTAAACTCATATGAATATTTACCTTTTTAAAAGGATATATATGTATATATATAATACTTAAGCCATATTTTAATATTATGGATATTTACTTTTTGTTTCATCTGATTAAAAGAATCTATTTAAAATAGAAAACTTAATAATGACACTATGTATAACTACCAATTCAAAATTGACATGTGTTACTTCTAGCCATTTGTTAAGTAAAATGACATTCTTATATTATAAATGGTATATATTTTAAATTTTATCTGTAAACTTTTTTATCATCTTATATGTATATACTTTTTATATTACAATTTTAAAAAAAAATTATACATTTTCAGAAAATAATTTAGTAATATTTAGTAAATATTATGTAAAATTTCAGTAATTTTTGGTAAAAAAATAATAATTATCTATTCAACAGATTTTCATTACTAATAATATACTTTACTTAATTTAATAAACTATTTTATTATGTAAAACTAAATTATCTTTATAGATATTTATACTTGATGGGAATTTATTTTTACAGTATATTTAATCGATCTTTTTGTTGAATTTAATTTTTTCACTCGAATAGATCATGATAAAAACAATAAACATGATTCTTTTCTATAATCAGTTAAATGAGAAAATGTCACATTCTCAAACTTTATAAATTTATCAAATATCAAAATCATTTATTATTAATTAAAAAGTTGAAATAAAATTTCTATATATTTGTAAACAATATATATATTTTAGTTTTAGAAATATTTTGTTTTTTCTTATCTTTTTGAAGAAATTCAAGAAACTAAACATTAGTATAATTTTGAAGTTTATTTAATATTATTTAAAATAATAATTTAAAATTTATAATGATTTCATGCATTATATTTTCAATTAACTAAAAATAAATTACAGTTCACCATTTTTAAAATTAATATGAACACGACACAAAAAAATATTTTTATTTTACAGAATATTTAATTTAGCTATGATATTTTTTATTCAGTTTTATTTTAATTTGGTATGGTTGGTATATTATGCTTGTATGGTTATTTAATTATAATTTAATATTATTTATTATCAAAAAACATGGTAACATACTAAGATGCATGTGTCTATATATCACTGCATTATTTTTTTTATCTATACAGCAATTTTATTAGTTTTTCTTTTTTTCCACCAAAATTCGATTTTGTTACTTAACTTGTTGCTCAATGTCTACCACGTTCTTTTAACCTATATAAAAATATAAATCAATCACATATTTTAATTTAATTTAAGTAGTAAACTGTACCACAAATTAAAAGAAAACGAACATGCTAAACATTATGTTAATTATATAGAATTGACGAATGATATAATATGAACGAAAAATCTCAATTTTCGATTCTCTCTACATCGATCAAACTGTTCAGTTTATAATTGTTTGTCACTTCCGTTTCTATGATTCCTGGAACATAAAATTTGGCGAATTTATAGAAAATAGAGAAGATTAAAAAGAATCTTTAGCATTTAACAAAACTGCATAATAGATTTATTTTTACTCTGTTAATTAATAATGGACTATGTTCGTAACACCTCATTCATTCCGCTTAATATATACTCTTTCTTAACAAAGGAGCTCTCCATCTCTGCTTTTCTCATCAATTTTTCTTCCGGTCAAATTTTATTGCTTCTTCACGAAAATGATTTCATCTTCAGCACCAGTTACTAAAATTGTTCTCAATTTTCGATTCTCTCTACTTTGGTTAAACTACTCAGTTTATGGTTGTTCACCACCTCTATTTCTAAGATTCCTAGAATATATAAAAATGATGAATTTATAAAAATTAGAGAAGACTGAAAAGAACCTTTAGCATTTAACAAAATGCACATTGGTTGCCAATATATATGGTCTTTTACAACTTTATTAACTAATAAGAAAGATTATCACACGTCATATCGATTTAACTTATATTGATTTAACTTATATTGATTTATGTAAACGTCAAAAGATATAATAAAATTATAGAATACATCAAATTAAATAAGTCTCCGATCCCGCATTTGTGGGGCGACTATAACCCTAGTATTACTCAAAAACAGAGCCTCACCTTTTAAACCAGAGTTTCTTTTTTCGTTTGTCTATATATATCAACAAGTAAACCCGAGACTCCCACGTCCCTTGCTGTGTGTATACTAGCTGGCCATCAGAAGAAACTCTTCAAAATCGCGAGTTTTGTTACTTAAGGAAAGACTGATAAGCTCAAAGATACGCCTCATAGACTCAAACCAATACCACAACCTCGCCACGAGAACCTGCAGAAGAACATATAAATAAAGCTAAAGAGACATTACCATGGATTATTTTTAAAGCCAATGAAGAATGAGTTTTTTACATTGTTCATGTATCTCTTTAGCTAACTCCAGCAGAAGATCAGTTTCTTCCGCAAGCTTAGTAGTCTTCTCCAACTCTTCCACTGCTACTTTGGCAACGTGTATTTTATTCTCTGCCTCTACAACTTTACAAGCAGCGGTTATTGCAGCTTCCTCGATCATCTCTTGTGAAACTGAGGGGGTTGGATTGTTTGTATGCCGGGGTTTTATATTTGTCTCCCTTAGTTTTGGGACATGTGTTATTGTTCTTGTTGATGTTTCTGATCTATCTGGTAGCTTATATAAGTTCAGTAACTGTTGAGAGTACAAGACATAGATTTAAAGAAATGGAAAGAAAAGAGACATGGACAAGATGGTTCAAATGTGACACAAAGAAGGAATAAAGGTAAGGTTTAAAGACTTACAGGTTTTGAGTTGCTAATCTTTGAAAGTTTTCCCTGAGAAGCAAGCCTTCTCAGTCTTGAATTTAGGACTTTTCTGAAATTTGGTGGCACTTCATGCCTTGGCTGCTCTTTCCACAGAAAAATCACAGGGTCCATTAGGAAAGGTTGTAGCCAATAGGATGCTAATTGCTGAATGTACTCTTAAAGTAATATTCTATGCATGAGAACATAAATTAAAAGGAGGTAAATGTAAACCTACATAGGATGTAATGTGTCATGACCAAGATGCTGAAACGTACATGTAGACCTCAAGTACAGTTTACATATGCCACAGTGAGGTTTTGACTTCTGATCAATGCAAAAAAATGAAAAGCAAAGAGAAACTTGTCTAACCTCGATGAAGCTAAAAATGGAACCAACATCAGATCCATTAGCATCCGCTAAAGCAGAGAGAGCTTCAAATATCATCCCATCATACCTGAAAATAGCAACTCATCCTCAGAAGTTTACCAATGCATGCAGGCATTAATAGATAAAGATAAGACAAACCTGGGAGCATTCTTCGTATCCACCACAAAGTTATCAGAAGATGCACTGCGCGGAATCGAATTAGCTGGTGAAGAAGTAGAAGAGTTAGCATTAGAAGGTGGAGTAGCCAGAGTGACGCCTTCTTCTTTGAATTTTATAGGTCTTGCCTTATCTTTTGAGCATTGAGTACCAGGTGCAACACTTAAGTTACGCCACTTATCCTACAAAGTATTGAAACACATAGTCTTTTTCATAAGTTAAAGAACTGTTCATTCCACCTCAAAGCTCCAATTCAATCAAGATTGCTTTAGCTTCGACATTAACAACAAGGAGAGACTGTTCAAACATGTATTAAACCTTAATTTCAGACATAACTGAGAACAAACTGATGACTCAAGTTAGCCTCAAAGTCTTTAGTTTAATTGTCTACGGTTCAAGAAGTCAGTAAACACACACCTTGAGGTCGATGTTGGAGCGATTGATGAGAAGATCAGAGAACTCGGGATCACGGAGGATGTTCTTCCATTTTCCGGCGCCGTGTTTTGCAATTCCGGCGAGCAACGCATCCTCTTCATCCCCTGTCCATTTTAGTTTCTGGTTTCCCATGTATCACCCTTGTGTCTTTAATCTCGTGATCTTTCTCTCTCCTTGTCAATACGTATTGTTTGTCTGTATATACACAAATCGGTGTGTTGTCAGATTCAGACGACGTCTCGTCGGCCGTAGCCTTCGCCAGTTTTCAGACTGCGGGGAGGTTAAATTTGTAAGTAACAAAACTTCTGGGGTCAAAATAGAAATACCAGTAAGCTTTAGCCAAGGCCCACAGTAAATCCAATCTAAAAATTTTTTGGTCAAAAAAATCTATATGATAAGTAATTTATATATCAAATATTGTTGATCGAATTATTCAAATAAGTAGTCAAAAATATATGAGAAAATTTTAATTATTAGTTAATTTACATAATTTTAAATTATTCTAGCATTGAGAATTTTGGTAATTTTTATTTCAAATGTTTTGGTCATTTTTAACTGATAAGTATTTTAAAATTTTTTGATGGATTTTTGAATAATTTACCCATTCATAATATTTAGGTTGATTTGTACTATTATTTTAATTTTTGAGTGATTTTGGATAAACGTATAAATTGATTTGAATCGAACCGGATTCCTAATTAGAAAAATCCGTATGAAATTTATGAAAAATGCTATCGAAAATCTAAAAAAATCCAAAAAATCTAGCCCACATAAATAACATTGGGTTTAATTGATCTAAACAAACAACCATGGGGTCAAATTCGAATTACAACGAATATCCAACGAATCTAGACACAAGTGGAACAAGTCTGGTCTTTCAGACAGAACTAACAAAGCAGTTTCCCTAACAAAAAAAAAAAGTCAAAATAAAAACCCTAAAGACAACAAATTTTAATTTCATTTCTCTTTTTCCCAACGTCGGAGAGAGAGACCACCAGCTACATCACACATTTCTCTCCTCTCTCTCCCCATCGAAACCCTAATCTCTCTCTCTCTCTCTCCTTCCTTCCCATGGCGGCGAACGACAACAGATCCGACCAACAACCATCAGACGAAAACACACGTCTCTACAACCCTTACCAAAACTTCCAAGTCCCAATAAAATCCCAATACCTCTACAAACTCCCCACCTCCCCTGAATACCTCTTCACAGAAGAGTCCCTCAAGCAACGCCGCACATGGGGAGAGAACCTCACCTTCTACACCGGAACCGCTTACCTCGGCGGCTCAGTCACCGGCGCCACCGTCGGGATCTTCACCGGAGTCAAGAACTTCGAATCCGGCGACACGACAAAGCTCAAGATCAACAGGATCTTGAACTCGTCTGGCCACACGGGGAGGACTTGGGGTAATAGGGTTGGGATCGTTGGGCTGATGTATGCGGGGATCGAGAGTGGTGTTGTGGCTGCGTTGGATAGGGATGATGTTTGGACTAGTGTGGTGGCTGGTCTTGCGACTGGTGCGGTTTTTAGGGCGGCGCGTGGGGTGAGATCTGCGGCGGTTGCTGGGGCTCTTGGTGGTTTGGCTGCTGGGGTTGTTGTTGCTGGGAAGCAGGTTGTGAAGCGGTATGTGCCTATATGATGGAGAAAGATTCTGTCTTGTTTGTTTTTTTTTTGGAATTTTTTTTTTTGATAGGTTTTGATTAGGTTTTGGTATGTCTTTTGGAATTATAAAAGATGAAAAACTTTTTTTCATTTGGGTTTCTAATGGTGTATGAGTGAGTCTCTGTATGAATAAATCTGCAAAACTTTTTTTGTTTTGTTTTATATACTGATGAAATGGTTATTCATTTTGACATGAGTGTGTTAGTGCTTCTTGGTTGTAGTTTCTGATAAATTAGTGTTATTTGCTACATTTTTGTGCTATTGTTTGATTGAAATTAAACATTTTTTTTCTAGTATTTCTTATCAGTTTGTTGCTCTTAGAGTATGCCTTTACTTATCCTGGTCCATGTTGTTTCCTATGGTTAACTTTCTTGTTAATGCAATTGCAATGTGAGAACTAGTATGAATGATACTTGATTCTCAAATATTGTGTAGTTATATGTTCCACTGGTTGTTTTTCACTGGAACCAGTCACAAACTCTGTTTCTTTTTGGGTTCTTTATTGTGTAGTTATGTTTTTCAAATATTAGTACTCAACTGTTGTGTCACAAACTCTGTTTTGTGTTTTGTTAATGTACTAAGAGCACAATAAAACACAAAACAATTGTTTTGTGTTTTGTGTTTTGTGTGTTTGTGTCCAAGACCTTGGCAGCTGTATTGTTAATACATTGCAGACGACTATTATCTTAGTTTCTGTTATTGTAACCTATTTTTGCGACTTCCTACACTTAATGTCAAACAAGCAATGTCCTCAAGTATCACTCCTATCAAAGTTAAAATGTATCCCTCTAAAATGCTTTCAAATTTAAGTGTTTGGAGTCACTTTACATGAACAAGTATTCTTTTAAAAGGGTTTCAATTTACATGACCAAAACTAAAAGAAGTTACATATACTACAAGAATTACATAACTCCAACAAGCTATGGGAGATCACCCCACTGAACTTTGTTAGGAGCACAACTCATAAAAGACAAACGGTTGCCTTTATGCTTCCTTCTCTGTGCTCTTTGTGGTCTAAGTCTTCTTGGCATCGAATGACTACGAGTCTTCAAAGGGTCACGATCTTCATGAAGGTTAGGTACTCTCCGAGTTTCCTTCTCTTTGATCTACATTGAAATTTCCATGTACTTTAGTGTCAATACTCAAATATGATTTTCTCATTTCTTCCTCTTTCTACATGGCACAAACATGGTATGTGTGTGTAGTGTAGTTCTAAGAAACTAACCTGAAAGGAAGGAACCGGAGCTAGATGATCTGATTCGTCAGATTGTGATGATATATGAGATGTTCTGTTCTGAATAAGTTCATTATCCTCTCTTGCAAACTCTCTTAGCCTCTTCAGAGCAGGTAACAGTACAGAAGCAAGATTAGGTCTATCTTTTTTCCTCATCTCACAGCACTGCAAAGCCAATTTAGCCAACTCCAAAGTCTCCTCTTCAGGCCATTCTGCTACTTTTGGATCCAAAACTTCACTCAACTTGTTATTCTCAATAGCCATCTCTACTTTATGACCTAACCCAATTGCTGGCATAGCTGTTATGATTTGAAGAAGCACCACACCAAAAGAGTACAGATCAGATTTAACTCCAAGCATCCCAGTTTGCTGATACTCAGGGTCAATATAACAAAATGTACCTAAAAGAAAACACACATCAACAGTCTGGTTCCATGTTAAAACATCTTGGATGGTAGATAAGATTCTTACCAGCTGCAGCGGTCATGTGATAGTTACTGGAGCTATTACCACCACAAGAAGGTACTAGGCGAGCTAGACCAACATCACTTATCTTACTAGTGAAGTGTCTATCAAGCAGAATGTTTGCTGGCTTCAGATCACGATGAACTAGTGGCTCAGGTTTTGCATTGTGGAGGAAAAGAAGACCTGTGCCAATCTCAGCAGCGATTCTGAACCTATCTCTCCATGAAAGTGGAGGTGTATTGTCTTTGCAAAAGAGACGATGCTCAAGTGTTCCATTCTCCATGTACTCATAAACAAGACAACCATTCTCAGGACACGCGCCGAGGAGGATCACCATGTTAGGGTGTCTCATGCTGCTTAAAACCTCAACCTCTTGGTGGAACTGTTTCAGACCCTGTGTGATACCTGACTTCATGAGCTTGATGGCGACGAAAGTGTAGTCTAGGATGGCCTTGTACACAGGTCCATACCCTCCTTCACCAATCTTTAGAGCATCAGAGAAACCATTTGTTGCTTCTTCAACGTCTTTGATACTGTAACGTCTGTAAGAGACATTGCTTGCTATCCTTTGCTTCTCCAACTTGGCTTGCAGCTCAATTAATCTTCTCTTTTGGCTCTCCATTTTCGCTAACTGCTTGGCCATTTCAGCTGCTTGGATGTCTGATTCTCCTTTCTGCTTCTCCTCAGACAATGTTCTAAGCAGCTCTAATGCTTCCTCTAACCTTCCTGTTTGGTTGGCTCTAGGTAGTTGAAGTTCTTGGTCCTCTGCTTCAAGATGTTGATTCTGTACATAAAACCATGTTAATAGAATAGTAAGAAACTGAAGGACAGAATGTTTATTTGAATGTAATGATACTTATTACTTACCATGGATGTAGAAGGGATTCCTTTGGTAGTGGAACTTTGAGAGATGGTGTAAGAAGTCACAGATGATACCACACTATAACTGTTATTCTCAGTGTCTGACTGAGAAAACTCACTCAGAGATTGTGGTGGTGAGATGCGAGGTGAATAGGATTGAGAGGAATATGAGTCTGAGTTGTTGTATTGAGTTGATACAGATGATTCTCTGCCAAAATGTAAATAAATAAAAAAAGAACATTACTCTTTTTCGTTTTATATTAATTGTGGTTTCTGAATTGAAAATTCGTTGAGTGTCATTTTATGTTTTCTAAGTATTTATTTGATAGTTTTTTTGAGATGTTACCTCTCTGAATCACTTGAGCTCGTTGAATCGTAATTGTTCAACAAAGAAGAGAGATCCTGTTGTCTTTGATAATGTCTTTGAGACTGGCTTGCGGATTTGCTTTTAAGAAGCTTAGCTTTTGACACAACAAAGACTGCACAAGTCTCTGGAGCTGATTTAAGTAACGTGGTAGGCACGTCTGGACTCTTAAATTTCCTGGTTAAAGAAATGGGACCAATGTTTAGTATTCATACAAACCAAAGTTGAGTATATAAGAATCAAGAGAAAAAGAAAATACTTGAAAAAGGATATGTGAGTAGATGAGCCAACAACAATGTTTGAAATAGAGTTGTTAATGATGTAATTGACAATAGCATTGGAGATGTCTGTATCATAAACAATAACCTCCTTGGCCATAATCTGATAAGCCATATATAATATAAGTAATGAGACATAAAGTGATTTTTTGTAATAAGAGAATGAGAGATGAATACTAACTCCTTTTCGAGCGCAGAATCCTCTGAAAGGAAGAAACAACTGATGCATCTCGTCTTGATTGTCATGTTTTAAACATGGTTTTATGTTCCCTTCTGCAAAAAAAAAGAGACCTAAAATTAGAGTTGTGTGACATTGTATTTTGATATGAAGAGAGGTAAAAGAGCAAGAGAGATGCCTTTAGGTTGTTGAACATGGAGAAGGATACAGTATAGAGAATCGACAAGAATGTTCTCAATTGCCCATTTCAAGGCGTGTTTGCTGTTCTTGTCTTTATCAACGGCGATCACCGTGATTGAGCCATTATCTACTCTTCTTGCAGACATGTTACTATAAACTTGTTTCTCAAGAAACGATGAATAAATTAACCTGTTACTTCATAAGCAAGCCATAGAGCTTGTTAATATATCACTTACATCTATAACCAAAACCGATTGTGTTTGTTTTATTTTCGTTTGGATTGGCAACCTCTGAGAAGTAACAATGAACGATAAAAGAAACAGAATTTGTCTAGTGAATGAAGAAGCTTGAGTGGTTTTTGCATTTTTAGCTATTTTTAGAAGGTTTTCCTCAAACGACTTAACCGTCTTCTGAACAGAAAACCAAAAGGGGAACTTTTTTTTATGTCACAACTCTCATATTATCTTTGGAAAGTGGAGTTGCTGGTGCAATCCAGCTTGTTAATAAAAAGCATTGGTTCGAATCGAACGAGAGTCATTAACTAAAATGCAACCTAATATTCTATGCTTTTAGTCTTATACATTATGGTGATAGATATATTCTTATACTGACATCAAAGTTTTGCATGTTCTACAAAAGCTCTGTTCAAAAGCAAGTATTTTTGCTATCATCTTAGGGGTGACCGGAAAGGTGTTAAAGATGTGGACAACCATTTTTCCTTAATTTATATTGTGAAACAAACAGTCATGCTTTAGTTTTTAAAAATAAATTTAGACCTCAAAAGATAGAGAAAATATGTCAACTCTGGAAATCAGTTTTTGAAAGCTTTTATTTATAGTTTTGAATATTTTTGGAAATAAGTCATAGTAAGAAAAAGTTAAATTACATCCAAAACATCAAAGACTATCTAAAACAAAAACAAAAAACAAAAAAAAACTAAAGATACAACACTAATCAATCAATCCTTTTGTTTGTGACAATTGCGAATAAAGATTTAATATAAACCGTTCGATTGAACGCGTGGGGGCGAGAAAGCTATTAGGAGGAGGAGGAAAGCACACGGGATTTTCAACCTCTCGAATAACGAAAACAAGACAAATCAACAGGCTTGTTTACTAACCAACCATGTATGACTTTGTGGAACAATTGCAACCTGCAAAAAAGCAATCCAAAAGGCAGAGACTGCCACCACCAGGCTCAAGATCTTCATCACGTGCTTCATTATTCTTGAAACAACGATCATGTCAGATTTTAGGTATTACAGTGTTAAAAACACATAGACATCAAAAAAAGACAATAATAAATAAATGCAATTTCACAATTTCTTGCATAATGGGAACTGATTTTAATCTCAATCAGTTACCTCAAAACTATAAAATTGAAAATGACATCAACTGTTCCATTGAAAATGATATAAATCAAACCAACTAGCTAAGAATTCAAATTCAAAGCTGAAAACTTTATTTAACATAGATCAACTGTTCCATTGAAAATGATATAAATCAAACCAACTAGCTAAGAATTCAAATTCAAAGCTGAAAACTTTATTTAACATAGATCAACTGCCATCAGAATCTAGAAGAATAAAATGATTTTGTCACAGGTTCATTCAGATCAGAGTACACTTTGATCTTCAGAAACTTAAAACCCTTGCGCAATTTTTCAAAATTCAAATCATCATCTGGCAACTAAATGATCAAAGCCACAACTAAAATCAACATGAAAAACCCAGAACCATGGATGATTGAACAAGAACGATAATCAAAGAACACAATATAATTAGAAAAGCAAGTTCCTTTAATCAACAATTTGAAATAATATCTGATTGTGTTGCCTGAAGCAACCTTAAAGAAAGAAGCCGAAGAAAAGAAAAATGAGGAAAAAATTCTGAAATGATGCAAGATTTGTGCAGTTTTGTAAGCTATCAAAAAATCTCAAAAAACATAAAAAAGATGAAGTAGATAACAAACTTTATAACCATCTCCACTTTAGTGATGAACTGAGAAAACCCACCAAAAAGAATTGACTAATTTCTAATACCAAATTAGAACTTTGGCTAAAAATTGAAATAATAAGTAATTAAATAAAAGTAATTTTTTGAAGGCTCGTCAACTGAAGAGAGAAAAAGTGAAGAATGTGAAACGAAGAAGCAAAAAAAAAACCTTTCTAAAGAGTATGAAAGAAGTAAGACGAAATTTTTTTGTTACAAGGGATCGTGGACTACAAAAAGACTATTGGGTTAGATCCTCATAAGAAGGAAAACAAGTTGAGTTTTTTTGATAAATTGAAGTCTTCGATCAGCTTGGTTCTCACCAGATCATATATAATTGTAGTTTTAACCTAACCTAAAATGCTTTCAGATTTAAATTAATAAATTTTTTTTATTTTTGTTTTTGTTGTTGTTTTTTAATTTCTTTTTGTTAATAGACATAATCAATTGATAAACCAAATTAAATGTATATATCGAGTTATTTTATTGTATATTCATATGTTTCTACATTATCCTCTTCCATTCATTATAGCAAAATTTTATTTGAGTTAAACATCATTCAACTGCTCCAGACGCACATGTAACTATCAATAAAATTCTTTGCAATTTTTTTGGAAAAGTTCTTCATAAATTTCAAATAATCAAGTGCTTTAAGTAATTTATTTTATATTAATATTATCGACAATCTGCTTGATAACTTATGAAACATATTTGAAAATAAATAATTTTTGAACTTCAATTAAATAAAGACTAAAAAATAATGGAACTGTTTTACTAATGTATGTTTACAACCCTTCATCGTTTTTACAAATCTTAACATCTCGACTGTTTTTATAGTTTCCTTTGCAACATTGATCAAATAGTAAAGTTCTATATGCATATATATATGGTTTCTCTATATATGAAAAAATAATTATAATTTAATCAAATTAGTTTAAAATTATATTAAATTTAGAAAATGTTATTGACTATTTTTATTGAGAAATTTAAAGAGAAAATAGAATTTGTTACAATTTTATGATTGTTTACATTTTAAAATTTAAACATGTTATTAACATCACGACAAAAACATTTAGAGAAGATAAAACTTACATAAAAACTGAGAGATACACCAATTCCAGCAACATTCAATGAACATTGGAGAACATAAATATTTCAAAAGATGATCATTTTTGAATTAATAGAATACAGTAAATAGTTGTAGGACGTAGACTATATTTTAATTTACTTCTTATGCTTTATATTTATAAATATTATATTGATATACTATATTTTTATTTACTTCTTATGCTTTATATTTATACTAAAAAAAAAAAATCTTTTAAAAAGCAACCGTATCTTGTTTACATTTCATTCACTTGTAATCATTACTTGCAATGTGTCCATCATTGTGGTTGACATTTGGCCTGGGCGGCAAAATACCGACCTTAACCTGAACCGGAAAAAACGAAATCGAATCCGAATTATTTTACAAGAATATCCGAACATGATTTATGAGTTTACTACTTTGGATTTTGGTTATAACCCGAACCGAACCGAAATCTAAATTAGTATCCGAAGATATGCAAAAGTAGTTAATTTTTTTAATGTTTTTGTATATGTTAAGGTGATTTAGATATATTAGAGTATTCAAAATATTTTGTAGTTTGTTTTATTTGTTATTTTGAATACTTTTTAGTTAACTTAGATAGTTTAACTAATTTTTAATTAGATTTCTAGATAATTTATATATTGTGAAAAAAAATTGTCAATTTTTGAGGTTTTAAAAAAATTATTTTTGGACAATTTTAAATATTGGTTAGATCCGATCCGAACCGAACATGGAAGAAACCGAATCCGATCCGAGAATTAGTAAAAACCGAATGGTACTTATTGACATAACACCGAAAATCCCAAAATCTAAATCATCCGGACCGATACCGAATGGGCCACCAAACGCCTACGCCTAGTTGACATGAAAGCTCAAAGAGAGTTCAAAACCAGATCTTGAAGCTTGATTACAAACAGTAAGCTTTTTTCTTTACTTTTTACAGGGGTAAGTTTCAAATTTTGACAAACTTTTACATATAATTTACTCAATATTGTTAAAATTAAAGACTGACAAAGATGATGATGCATAGCTAATTATAAGTACATTCCTTTCTTCTATTGAAACTTGGATTCGTATGTTTAAGAAATAGGCCAAGGAGATGTGGCTAATGAAATTGTGTTCTAAACTATTTTGCATAAACCTTTATTTGTCTTTCTTTTCTAAACTAACATCTACTTAAGTATAGTATAGATTCTGCCCTTGGAAGCTCGTAGTGAGTCTGAAAAGCTTGAGTGGAAATGTCATAAAATATATTAGTGTTAGTGAAACAGTCTTCTCACAAAAAGTGGACGTGCCGGAGTGGTTATCGGGCATGACTAGAAATCATGTGGGCTTTGCCCGCGCAGGTTCGAATCCTGCCGTTCACGGTTTTTGTTTCTTTTCCTGTTTCCCATCTTTATTTTTTTTACTAAACTGAATGAAAAGAAGAGAAAGATCCAATTTAGGACCCGAACCCGGTCTTAATGAATCCAAATCTTAAACACTGATTCCTTTTTGGTTTGAGGTGTATAGAAGGCCCATCATAGTTTCTGTTATTTGTTTCATTTAACCTAATATAGAACTTTTTTTGGTAAAAGTAAAACCCTAATATATAACTTAAGCAGCAGTCTATGGTTTTCCACTCTCTCAAACCTATACAATCGCTCTTCTCATCTTCTCCATGGGAAAGAAAGTTAAGAGGGAGGCTGAAGATGATGATTTGGAGACCAAAACAAATCTGAAGAAGCAGAAGAAAGAGGTGATTGAAACAATGGAAGGATTGGTTGATCATCTTAAGAGGATTGAATCAAAATTTGATTTGTTGGCTACAAAGGTTGATCAATTGATCTCAGTGAAAGGTGAGAGTGTTCATGTCAAGAAGTCCTTAAAGGCCAAGGCAGAGATCAGTTCCTCTGAGGATGAATCATCTTCTTCTGATGAGGATTCTATGGATTCTTCTTCCTCTGAATCAGAAGATGATTCGTCTTCATCAGATGATGAGGAAAGTGATCAAGGTGAAAAAGCTGAGGTGAAAACAGCTAAGATTCCTAAAAATGAGAGCAGTAATAATGTTGATTCTACCAATGATGAAAAGGAGAGTGAATGTAGTTTTAGGTCTCCTACTTTTGGCTATGTTAGCCGTAGTGGTCGTTGGCCTTTTGCAGGTGGTCGCTTCTCAGGTGGTCGTTGTGGTGGTCAGGGATTTTGTGGGCGCTGTTAAGGTTAGGAAGAGACAAGTCTCGTGTAATAAACAGACCTTGTTTTTACTCTGTTATAAGACTAGGTTCTTCTCATGTTAGAAGATTATCTTGCAAGTAATAAACCTCTTCTCTATCTACTTGTTACAGAATCAAATTAATTTTGAACTATTAGAGAGTAGAGAAGAACTTGTCTAGAACTATGTGGTGTTTTTAAGACTATAATTAACCCGATCTTTTTAAAACGGGATTCTTAGTGGAAATTAAAAAAAAATTCTTAACTTTTAACTAAAAAAATTTAGTTAAAAATTTTAAAAACATTTTTTTAAGTTATGCTAAGAACTCCACTTTTAAGAACTCCGGATTAATCATGCTATAAACTTATGATAAACAATGCAACCATTTTTATTTGGTTTTTTTTTCATTAAGGTCTGGGACATAAAATACCCGAGAGACAAGAATTGTTTCGCAAGAAACAAAGCATATATTTATTAATCAACACTTAGATTCATTGTTCTTAAGATACTCCTTAAGAACATCCATAACCGAACCAAACTCAGCCTTAACCATAACCGGTGGATTCGCCAACTTACAAGCCATCTCTTGTATACTCTTAGAATGATACTCAATCTTACTCTGCGTAAACTTCAAACCATGAGCTGTACTAACCACCACCGTCCGATCATTAGCCTCAATAACTCCACTCTCCCTCAGCTTCATCAACGCCGTCAACGCAACACCTGTATGCGGACAAATAAACATACCAGTAGAATCCGCAAGAGCCGTTGCATCCATCAACTCCTCCTCAGTAGCTTCCTCAACAATCCCATTAGACTTCTTCAAGGCATACACTGCTCTATCTATAGAAACAGGATCACCAATCTGAATCGCGGAAGCAAACGTTGTATCTGCTTTCATAGGGTTAAAGTCCTGATCAAACCCTGACTTGTAATGCAAGTAAAGCGGGTTCGCGTTAGCGGCTTGAGCACAGACAAGCCTAGGGATCCTATCAACAAGCCCTAGCTCTTTACACATGTGGAAACCTTTGTAAAACGCGTAGATGTTACCGAGGTTTCCTCCGGGGACGATGACCCAGTCTGGTACTTCCCAGTTGAACTGTTGTAAGATCTCAATGGCCGCCGTCTTTTGACCTTCGAGACGGAGGCTGTTGAGAGAGTTTGCTAGGTAGATAGGGAGCTCGGCTGTGACTTCGCGGATGAGATGCATGCATCCGTCGAAGTCGGTGTCGAGGCTTAGGACAAAGGCTCCGTTTGCGATGGGTTGAACGAGCTGAGCTGTGGAGATTTTGTCAGCCGGTAGGAAGACGATGGAGGGGATTCCTGCGGCTGCGCAGTAGGCGGAGAGTGCGGCGGATGTATCTCCAGTGGAGGCGCATCCCACTCCGACGACTGGTTTGTTCATTTTCCTGAGGCGGTTCACCTGAAAAACAGAACCATCATAATAAAACTGAATCTTTTTTTTACAGTTACAAAAAAAAAGATTTAGTTATATTATTTTGTTTTTTTTTTGTTTGATTCGGATAACAAAATCGAGGACCGGTTAATATGGAGAAAATTTTGGATTTAATTCGGTTTCAATTTGGTTCTAGTTTCGGAAAATTTTGGTTAATTCAGGTAAATTTTATGAATAATTCCAAGTTAGATAATTCAAATTTATCGGATAGAAGGATAATATAACTAATTTGAAATATTTCGGATAAAATAATTAAATAATTCGATTTTTTCGGATAGTACTATATAATTTGATATTCTTTCATGTTCATTATAAATGTCATTTTATATTTATACACATAGATTAATAAGAAAATTAATTGTGTATATTTTCTATACTGAAACACATTAATTATATCCATATATCTAATTCAAGTAATAGATAATAAATTACATAATAAAATTAATAAATTTTATATTGAAAACTAAATAGGACATTTATTTTGTAACGAATTTTTTTGCTACTATGACAGTTAATATTTTGATATATATTGTTAATTTGAAGTTAAATAAAAGTAATATTTTTATGCATAGAAACTATATTTTCAGTTTCACCTGAGAAACAAGAACGGTCATGCCAAGATCTTTAAACGAACCCGTGTGGCTAATCCCACAGTGTTTCACCCAAAGATCGTTCATCTGAAGATACTGTTTCCCAAACCTCTCGGCCCAAAAGAGGTTCGAGTTTCCTTCAAACGCGGAGACGATGTCATCATCATCAATCTCGGGGAGAACCCACTCTTTCTTGGACCACACGCCTGAACCATACGGCCAAGTAGTTTTACCTACGCGCGAGTCAAATAGGTTACGCCAAAACGCTCCGTCGTAGCGTTTGAGTGCGGCGAAGTCGTGCTGGACGTCGAGGAGGCCGCCGGATTGTGAGCGGTAGACGATCTCGTCGAGGGAGTAGGACTCTGTGGAGAAGGGGGGAGCGTCGAAGGGGACGTAGCGTGCTGAGAGGTTTTGGAGTTGGGGACGGCGGCGAGCTTCGTCGCGGATGTTCTCGGCTGAGCGGTGGTGTTTTTGGGGAGGAGCAGCGGGGGAGGGAGTGGTTGGGGAGGTGCATCGGACGGTGGAGTGAGGTTTGGAGGAGTGGGAAGGAAAGTAGGTGGTGGAGTGGAGGAGGGAGAAGGAAGACATGATGAGAGAGAGAGTGAGAGAAGACAGTAAAGTACAGAGACACTGAAACTGATTGGAGAGAAGAATGTTGATAAAGGAACCTCGGCTGAGGTGCCCGCCATCACGAGTTCGAGCCCCGACCACAGCGGATTTAACATGGTTTCCGTTTGGTCTTTAGGACTCCTTCGGAGGATAGTCGGGTCTCTAAATAAACCCCGGACACATGAGTTATCAAAAAAAAAAAAATGTTGACACTTTGGTCAGAAACTAATTTATAAACCTAAAAGTATTAAATTAATGTATTTACTATTCAACTATACGTTAATGCTCGTTCCAAATTCCTAATAAATCAAGTAATTAAATGTTTGTACGTTCATGACTATTGATTTTTCTAAAAAGTTTATCATGGTCCCTTTTGTAGTGTAGTAGACACTAGGCACTAAACACAATGGATCATTAACATTCATGAATCATATACTAGAATTAGATTGTGTATTTCTTAGAGAAATACAGATCAGAAAAACACTAACATTTAAATATCTTGATGAGTCTTTATAAAATGATTAGTTAGTTCATCAAGGGTTAAGCATTCCTCAAGGAGGATGAAAAATTAAAGACATCTCATGAGTACAAGAATTATTGTGAGTTCGTGCCTTTTTAATCAAGTAACCATATATGAAGATAAGATTGTGAGTGTATTATTGGTTTGTATGTCATATCATAATCCAGATTCAAGAATCAATAGTGTGTGCTTGTGAGTTGTATATTAAAAAAACATAGAAAGAATTAACAATGATCAAAATTGATAATGAGTGCAACTTTTCCTTTTCAATAAAAAACACTTTATGGATTGTCCTTTTCTCCACGGAATCTTGTGAAACGGATTGGGTTCAGTAATTGAACCAGTCATGTGATGAAATAAGCGTACAAGTTACAATAGAACCAATGTCATTTGTTCCTGTGATTTTGAGGTTTTAATAGTCGCCTGGTTAATCCTGTTTCATTAGTGTCTTTTTTAGTCTGTGAATCTACTTATTTGACTCTTCATATGTTGAATATCCTTGCTCGCAGGAATAATGCAATCCACTGCCATTAGGTAACACTTTTCTATCACAGTTGCTTTCACTTCTTCATTCTACAGACGGATTAAGATTGAACTTACAATAGAGACGCAAGTGTTTTGTTAAAGTAGACATGGATAATGTTTTGAACCAACAAAAGTGGATCTTACACATAAGAATATTGTAGTGGGCTAACATTATAGTCGATTTAGTCCATTTAAGCAATCAATATTGTTAGGATTGGATCGGACCATATCTGTCCCAGCCTATCACAATTCTGTGGAATCAATTACATGCTGAATCAGTCTATAACTTTTGCACAGAGGATGATTTGGAATGGTGTTGGGTGTTAATGCTTGTAAGAAAGGAGAAGATAATGGTAGCATGATGAAACCAGACTCCAAGACGATAATGGCTGTTCAGGGAGTTCTTGAGACGGCTTTCTGCAAATTCATAGTGATAACAGCTGAGAAAACCATGTAAAAAGATCTAGCTGTTCTTCTTTCTCTTCTGTGTCAAGTCATAAGGTGTAAAGGAATGTGTTAACTTCAGTTGTTTCTAAATAAAAGAAAAAATGTTAATTTCCGGTTTGGGATTGAATTGGATTGGTTCACTATAACCGTGGTATTAAACCGGTATGACCTGCAAGACTTCCATTTGGTAATTGGCATATGTCATACTCTTACATCAATAAACAGACACGACAATATCAGATTTGGCAATATATTACAATTAGTAATTCATGAATCACTTGCTTACATATTTGATTGTGACTATATATAATTCATAGAAAATGCTGTCCTTTGGTTTTTAAACTATGATCATTGTTAGTAAGTATATCAGGAACATGTCAGAGAAATGGTATTATTATTATTATTATTATTTTTTTTTTTGGTCAAAAAAATGGTATTATTTTTAAGTATCTAAAAGAGTGATGAGATGAGACTCAAAGTAGAATCTTTCAACCTCTTTTCTTAATTCAAGGAAGAGTAAGAAACTATCTTACATATAAACAAGATTCTTCATTAAATATTTTTCAAATATTGTCAACTAAATTGTAAAATATTCAAGAATCCTGATGGCTATTATACACGAATTCATGGAGTGGAAGCAGAATCTGTGTTTATTTATCATATTCATACATAATCCATAGCCTTCTTCATTACACAGAGCAACTGGAAGTTTAAAAGTGTGTTTCAAACTGAAGATTTTGATTGTTCTTGAGATGTCTTAACACATACATAGAGTGAAATGAGAACAGTAGCAAGTAACAACAAGCAAGAGAACTAGTAGTAGTAGCCAAGGATGACTTCCCCTTTTGGTGGGAAACATGAAACAGCACCAAAGATTCCAATGTCCTCAGATATGGACAGAGAAATGGTGCAAGTCCCCACCTCCATGCATGTCATTGGATTGACCATGAACAAGCATAGCTCGGTTAGTCTGAGTTGGGATTGGGAAACCTGAAAACTGGAATCCAGTGTGTCCGAAGACATCAGGGCCGTCAGAAAGAGATGTAATGTCAGAGCCAGAGGTGGTTGAGTTACGGTCTTTGTTGTGATTCAGCATATGAGCTTCAAATCTAGACATGTTTGCCCTTTTGTTTTCCTGTTCGACCAACTTGTCATGTTCTTGTTCTTTAGCAGCAGCCTGTTCTTGAGGGAGTTTTTTGGTGTTTAGGAATCTTCCACCGGATCCTCTTGGTCTTTTAAGAGCATGAACATGTCGAGATTCATGAAGATAAGGCTGTTGCAATAAGACAAACAGAGATAAACAAATGAGAAGCTTTTGTTTGTTGTGTTGGGATTAATATTATTACCTTCCGGGCTTTGATTAACTTGTTCTGAGCCTCAAGCTTGGCACGTTGCTCCCTTCTCCTCATGATTGCATGGTACTGCTTCGCATTGACAAAGACTGGCTCAGTCTCAGTGATCTCCACTGGTAACGGAACTCGACCAGGAACCATACCCACCATTTGAGGGTTGCATGTCTACAAAACAGATGAAGAGACTTAAAAAATTAATCTACCATTTGGAGGATGCAAGGAATAATGGAGTTGCTTCATTGCAATAAACTTACTTGTGCCTGTGGTAGATAAGTTGCAGCTAACATACCACCATAATGTGGATCAACATACTGAAAAGAGAAATTAGCCTGCGTTGGAGCAAAGTGTATACTAGGGAGTCCGGTCATGGAGCTTGATTTCGGATGAGTTGCAAACCCTTTCTGCTGAGTTTCTTCAGATCCTAATCAAACATCAAAAGAAAGTAAGAGAGAACATTGACACTTTTATAGCAACAATCTAATATATCATAACCAATCAAGATCAAGTCAAAGCATCAAGGAAGAGTCTCATCTTCTCAATGGGAATAGGAAGACAGTACTGAATAAGAACCGAACTGACCTGATTTTGTTGAAAAGGAGATTTGTCTGGAAGGAGTATTATCATCTCCACTACTTGCAACATCAGTGTAAGACTGACCAGTGGACTGACTTGAAGATGAATCCTGGTCTTGAAAACTGATTTGCTTTGTGGTTTGCTGCATATGTTCAGGCCTTGCATCATTTGGAGCCACTCCCCATGAGATGCTAGTGTTAAGGTAAGGCAAAGTTGAATCTTTCTTATTCATCTGATGCATAACGTCTCACAAGATGAAGAAGAAGAAGAAGACCTATATATCATTCAACCATGATCCAAAGATTAAAACTTTATTTGAGAAGACAGTAATACACAAAAACAAGATCCATAGAAATATTCAAAAACCTAGAAATAGAAACAAATAGAGATTGAAAGTTTCCAACTTTATATATATTTGGGCAAAAAGGCGTTGACTTGAGAGAAGAATTAACAAAATCAGTTAAACAAGATTAATCGAATAAACCAGAGTTCGAACAACGAAAAGGGGAAGACTTTGAGAGAGATTAAACATCAAATCTTATAGAACAAGAGACTACAGATAGGTGAAGTGAAGAGAAAACCTTTTTGAGTATTAGATGAACCGAAGGTGAAGAAGACAGAACACGAATTAGTTTTGCATGTCTCCTTGTCCGAAGTAAACGGTTCTTGTCTCTCTATATGAAACTCAGTGAATCAGAGTGTGTTTGGTCGTGTTGGACTTGGTATGATCTTTCTTCTTCTGCTTCTTGGTATCTTTCGATCTTTTTTTTCTCTCTCTCTCTCTCTTACGAAACAACCATTGCCATGGTCACCATTACCACTTCCTTGTGGTGGTTCATTATTGTCTTTTTTAAGTGGTTTAATTATTTCATTTAAGAGCTTAATTTAATTTTTTCACTTTACCCAAACACACAGAATAAAGTCTTTCTCTCTCTCTGCCTATCCCACTTTCTAGAATCATTTACCCCACACAAACTTTTTTTAATTTAATTTTATTATCTAACATTTCAGATTCCTAAATCCTTGTACTAAATATATAAAATTGCGAAAATACTAAAAATCTTAATTTTAAAGAGTTATTGCAGTGTATAACTAAGAACAAGATTTTAATTAGGTGATTGACTACTACCTTCTCTTATTTAGGTAAGTCAGTATCGAGTGGTACCTGGAATGACGAAACTCTCCTCTATTACCTCTCCCGTAGGCTATTGTTGCACAAAACATAAGTTTAGATGGGCCATTGCATGTCTCCTATATTCTCAGCAAATCATATCTTTATGTCTAGTGTTTAATTGCAATGAAAGTAGGCATCCTTTTAGTGTGTCATTATCGGTGTGTATTATTGGGAAACGACATAAAGTAGAACGTAAAAAATCACCATATATACGAAACGATACATTTTCATATAATTAGGAAACAGAAATTACACGAAGGAGTGTTTCAGATTATAACACGAAATCTCAAACATAGCCAATTTGTTAAACAGACAACATAATAATGAGCCACATTTGCCCACTGTTTTAAGCGATAATTGCAACAATTACGACTGTTGCAAGGAAAAGTAAAACCCAGGTGATGATAAACATGATGCGCATTGTGTTCTTTGTCGCATTAAACATATCCAAGAGTTGATATGCAGATGGGTGTATTTCCACATCTTCGTTTCCCCTTGCACTTGACCTTAACATCTCAATAGTAGCGTTGGTTTCAGCTAATGTAGACCGCAAACTCGCTGCCTCTCGTTTGTAATGTCTTATCTGATCCCTCGCCTCCAATAAACTTTCCTTCTGCCAATTTGTGGGTTCTTCCGTGTCAGCCCAGCTCACGAATCCGTGGATCTCACAACGGTGGAAACGCCGGCCCGGATTGTCATCTGACCACGACAATGTCACTTTTGTAGCTCTTGAACACCGACATAGAGGTCCAACATCACTGCTTTTTACGGCGGTCGATGAAGATGACGAAGCCGACGTTGACCTAGTCATTTTGATGACGATTCTCTCTTGTCAAATTTTTTTCCGAAATTGAATAGAGAGACAAATATGGCCTGATCCTATCTTTTCCGACCTTTGAAAAGGTGCCTCTTTCAATTTCCAAAAGCCAGGACAAGTGTCAATCATCTGCTACAACCGTGACGGTAGGAAAAAAATATCTTCCACCTTTCGTTATACCGACGAAATCAAATATCTCAATTCCTTGGCATCGAACCGGTTTTACTTAACTTACCTCTTCTCTAGAAACCCTAATTTCGGTAACTACTTCCGGTTTACTTAGGAGGGAAACGGATTACTTCCAAATTTTTAATATTTAAAATTTGACCTGGTTGTCTTTTGACGTCACGTCAAACGCCTAACTTGACCTCTACGATGTTATAGGCTCAGGCTACAACATGAGCTGGATTCACATCCTCTTTCTATATGTGTACATATCACCGGATTCCACGAGACATCTTGCTATAAATCAGAACTCCCTGTCTTCAACTTTCTAAAGCACAAAATATCTTTTCCAGTTTCAAAAACAATATACCGGGAGTTTGGAGAATCACGAGAGAAAAGGTAAAACTTGTTTGTACTTGTTTTCCTTTTAAAACTGTCTGTATATTTTTGGTGTGTGGGGTCATTTATTTCGAACCCTAAATGATTTATCACCCATCTGACTTGGTAGTTTCTTTTTCTTTTTTAGATGGGAAGGATTTTGCATCTTGAACAAGGAGTGTGGATAAAATCTGAAGCAGGGAACTGGAATTTCGTGAACACTAGTGAATACTATGGTGAAGCTATTCTCGTCCGCGATAATGAGACTATTGATGACTTGAAGACCATTGTTCGTGTTAGGTTGGAGTTGGGACCAGACACTCCCCTGGTTTTAACATACCAGTTCCCTGACTGGATGTTTCAACCCAATGTTCCTACACCCCAGCCTGTCAACCTTGTCGAGTCTAGGGACGTTGAAGTAATGATGACACTTCGAGAGAACAATGATGTTCTTGTCCTCTATGTTACTTCAGGACCTGAAGATGTTGCTCGGTACCAGTTCTATTGTCGAACTCCTTTCTGTTTGGGGAACATATCTTTCCTTCAACCGGGTGTCTCTGAGGCTGCGCATCTTCAGTTTATCAGAGGTGAGTGTAACTATGACAATTTCACCACTGCCAAAGAGTTTTCTTACAACACATTAGTTACTTGTCCTTTTTAAATTTGGGATTTTCATCTGTTCAGACCTTGCTGGAAATCGTCCTATGAGCTGTGCTACACGAATGCTCGAGGTTTTATGCGATGAACACCAGCTTCTGGGAATCTACCGTCTCTCAATGGAGATTGATCTTGCTCTCTCTACCACTCGTGCTAACCAAGGATTGAACACCAACCCCAACATCGAACATCAAGTTCCAATAATTTCTCTTGAAGGACGTCTACCAAATGTTGATTTTGAAGTCAACCCAACCGCAGCTCTCACTCCCCCTCCTACTAATCCCACTGGTAGGTTGCATTCCAAGTTATTGATAAAATATTTTTTCATCTATATAGGAGTTTGTGTGATGATTGTTATCACTCAACATTTGAAACTGAATATATGTGTTAATGACTATTTGTTATGAGGTTTTCAAACTCCAAATCAAGAGCCCAATATATCACAAGCAAATGCACTCACTCCCATCTCACCTGATCATTCCTCCGATATATTCCGTGGTGCTAGTCTGGAAATTGAAAGAGCTCGTCTACTCAACAAGCCACACGTTTCAACTCCTCAAATGTGTGAGTATGCACATGATTGGGAAGCTGTGTATGAGGCAAACGGCGGCACATCCGACCCCCCTACAAACAAGCTCACACCCTCTGTGGGAGTTGGAAACAAACGTAACTCTCTCGGTCATGATGTTCCACAACCTGAGGCTGATAACACCGGAGTGAAATTTGGTGCTCACTCTATCTCTGACTCTTCTGATGAGTGTATTATTCTCGCCGGTGATATACGTACGTTCTGGTAGCCTCTTTTGTAGTTACTTTTAATTATTTAACGTCGTCAATCATGTTTTCCACATATGTTTTGGTAACACAGGTCGTACTCCCTACTCGACATCTACCAAGAAGACCACGGTCAACCTTGTATCTGACGATGATCGTATGGTAGTGAGTGAGCCTTCTCTGGACCTAAGTTTAGGGATCGGCAGTGCAAAACATACCGATGGAGTCCATTCTGTTGTCGTCGTTGATGACTCCTCCTCCGAAGTAGGCGGTGACACTGGTCTGTTCGGAACTCAGCCTTAGTTCCTTTATGAATACGATGCATTTTGTGTATTTTCAGCTATATGGGCTCATGGTTGTCCCGCGTATCTATTTGGTTTTTTTTTTGGTAACCGGAAGTTTGGCTTTTTGTTATATATATCCACTTACCGGACGCTTGTAATGTGAAATATTTGGCTAACGTATGAAGATGTTTGTTTAAAACTCTTACCAATTACTCTCTTTAGGTGTTTATAATTTGATTGTCTTACATATGTAGGGATTCAAAACAATCATTCAGACGAAATTTCCGTAGGCATGACTTTCAAATCTAGGGATGCTTTCAAACACCGCATTGCGATTCATGCTATCACAAACAAATTCAGATTTCGTATCACAAGATCTGCGCCCGATGGCATGGTGTTAAAATGCTATAGCAACACATGTAAGTGGCGTGTATATGCTGTACGTCTGAAGAACGTCGATGCCTATGAAATCCGTAAGCTGGAGAAACAGCACTCTTGCACCGTTGACGACAGAGCGGGTTTGTATTATTATTCTTCTAGCTGTCTTGTTCATTTGAATACTTTTACATTTGCATCAAAGAATATCTAACATTAAGAAAATGTTTTTTCAAACCTCGGGATTATTATCCGGATTTATATTCAATTATCTGGAGTTTAGTTATATTTTCTGGTAATAATTTTATATACCCGGTTACCACGTAAAAGCTATAATGGATAGACTAAGGTTGTCTGTAATTGTATATTAATTTATACAATACATATTTTAATCAACTTAATCTTATTTCAACATTTTAATTACCCACCTTCAAAATGTGAAATTATTAAGAAAATGAAGTTTGTAATGAAGGGTTTATTATCCGGTAGTATATCACATTATACGGATAATAACTATATATCCGGATAATACTTAAGACCAATTTATGACACCCATAGTTTGCCTGTACATTTATAGTAATTACAACAACACGTATTTTAGTTACATGAATCTTGATACAACATTGTCCTCACACAACATTAAGAAGGGATACCCAAACGAAAATGATGTTGTAATTGACTGTCAGATTCGATGGTTAAACACAACATTAAGAATGGTTTATTATCCGGTAGTATATCACATTATACGGATAATAATTATATATCCGGATAATACTGAGCCCAATATATGACACACATAGTTTGTCTGTACATTTATAGTAATTACAGCAACACGTATTTTAGTTACATGAATCTTGCTACAACATTGTCCTGACACAACATTAACAAGGGATACCCATACGAAAATTATGTTTGAAACCTATGGTTTATTATCTGGTTTTAGATTAGATTGTAAGGATAACAGTTATCCGGATAATAATATATTTTATCCGGTTAACAATTACAACCTATATACCATATTTTATGGTTTTCTTTAATTATATAGTTATTAATACAAAAAGTATTATAGTTAGCAATACTTTTTAGTTTACTGTTTAGTGTATAGTGTTTAGGGTTTATGGTTTATGATTTAGGGTTTAGGGGTTAGGATTTAGGATTTAGGATTTAGGATTTAGGGTTTAGGATTTAGGATCTAGGGTTTAGGGTTTAGGGTTTAGGTTTTAGGGTTTAGGTTTTAGGGTTTAGGGTTTAGGGTTTAGGGTTTAGGGTTTAGGATTTAGGGTATAGTGTCTTGGTTTTTTACAGGCTTTTACATTTTGAAGTTTTTATTTTATCAAATCGAAGTTGGTATTTTAGGGATTATTATCCGGATTTATATTCTATTAGTTGGAGTTTAGTTATAATTTCCGATAATAATTTTATATACCCGGTTACCACATAAAACCTATAGTGGATACACTAAGGTTGTCTGTAATTCTATAGTGATTAATAGAAAGCGTATTATAGTCACATTAATCTTATTTCACCATTTTAGTAACACACCTTCAATAAGTGATATTATTAAGAAAATAAAGTTTGAAATGAAGAGTTTATAATCCGGTTATATATTAAATTACACGGATAATAACTATATATCCGGATAACACTCAACACCTATATATTTCTTACAAAGTTTGTCTTTAAATTTATAGTAATTACAACAAAACGTATTATAGCACTGAAACCTTCCCAACTGTTAACATTATTATTTCATTCTTTCATGATAGGGTATCAAAGTCAAGCTACTCACTCTGTCATTGGCGAAATGATGAAGGCTAGGTTTTCCGGATCAGGTGGTGGCCCAAAGCCACATGAGATAATGCAGGTAATGCAGGGAGATCACAATGTAAGAATTTCCTATTGGAAAGCATGGCGATCACGAGAGGTAGCTTTAGATTACGCCAAAGGAACATCTGGTGCTTCCTATGACCTCCTACCCAATTACTTGGCAAGACTTGTTTATGCAAACCCAGGAACGTTGACTAATTTAGAAACAAATTACGATGAAGGTGTTGGACACAGATTTAAGTACATGTTCCTGGCCATGGGTGCGTCTATTGAAGGCTTTTCTTACATGAGAAAGGTGATAGTTGTTGATGGTGCTCATTTGCGGGGTAAGTATGCTGGTTGTATTCTCACTGCATCAGTACAAGATGGAAACTATCAGGTGTACCCCTTGGCAGTGGCTATTGTTGACAGTGAGAATGACAAGTCTTGGGAGTGGTTCCTACGGAATCTGGTACAAATAGTCCCAAATGAAGAAGAAATTGTTTTCGTTTCTGACAGACATGCTTCCATATATTATGGTATTGCTAAGGTTAGTGTACTGATTAATTACATTACATATTTTCACTTTCCACTTATTCCGAGATAATAAAGTAAATGATCTTCATTCACTTGAATGACCTCCTTCATCATTCAGGTGTACCCTAATGCAAGACACTGCGCATGTATACTCCACCTGAAGAGGAACATCAAAACCTACTTCAAGGATAAGCACCTTGGGTACCTGGTGGGTAAGGCAGCCCGAGCTTTCATGCTCTCAGACTTCTACAAAGTTTTCACTGAGATTAAGTCAGTCAACCCTTCTTGTGCTGACTACCTTATTGGGATTGGATTCGAGCATTGGGCACGTTCGCATTTCTCGGGAGAGAGGTACAATATGATGACCAGCAATGTTGCTGAGTCTCTTAATTCTGCACTTCGTGAAGCTAGGGCATTTCCGATATTGCCTCTCGTTGAATTTATTAGAGGCAAACTGATGAGTTGGTTCGCCATGCGTCGTGACATAGCATATAATTCGACAAACAAGCTAACTCCACGTGTTATGGAAGTACTTGCTGGTAACTTTGATCTAAGTGGCGGGTTTGGCGTAGAGAAGATAAACACCTCAGAATATCAGGTTCTTAACAAGGTGGGGTTGTCATTCCATGTTAACTTAGCTTGTGGGACTTGCAGTTGCTGTGAATTTCAAAGCCTTAAAATACCTTGCTCACATGCTGTCGCTGCGGCTGTTGTAGCTAAGATCAGCGTTGAGTCCCTTGTTGCCGAAGAATATAGTATCAGAAGTCTTGCTGCTGCATATGACAAAAACATATGTCCTGTTACGGAGTGTGTTGATGTGGATTTGCTCTCACCAGAAATTTCTGCCACTCATCTTCATGTTGTTCCACCGGCTTCCCGACGCCCACCGGGAAGGCCTAAGAAAAATCGTTTTCTGTCTCGAGGCGAATTTATAGTAAGTGGTTCTTACTTTATTCACATGATTTTATTTAGTTTGACATATTTCTGTGTTGTTCCGTCTAACTGTCGACGTATCCACTATGCAGAGTAAACCGATCCGCAAGCTTCACATATGTAGCCGTTGCAAGCATAGTGGTCATAACAGGGCGACTTGCAAGATGGCTATATGAAATGCTCTCGATGATGTTGGTATTTCTATCACTCGGATGATGAAGGTGTATGGGATGAATGGAATGTGCTGTTACTGGGCAGCAAAAGAATAACTTATGTTGAGCTCTAATATCCAGATTTGGTTGAGGCAGGAATGTAAAATAATTCCCGAGTGTGTTATGTTAAATTATATTGCACCCTTTATGTATGATGTGGTTGGTTCCTATTATCATTATGTACATCTTTTATTGTGAGCATAATCTTCTATGGTAACAAAACTGGATATTTGCCATAACTTGCAGCGATTGTATATCCCATCTTATATCCGGTTAAGACATTACATCGTCTCCAGACCATCTGCTATACAACATAACCGGTTAACTATATTGGATTATAATAACTAACCGGTTATGTTCTGCACCTTATATAACCAAATATATAACCCGTTTTATCTAACTCAAACCGTTATATTATCATTAACCGGTTAACGATTACACTTTTACCACTGTCGTTCTATTCGCGATATTTCCTACCAGTACGAAATATAAGAAAATAACAAACATAATTGAAGGGACTTATAGGAAAATTCGAAATAAACATAGTTTTATCGGTTCGAAACATGAATGTTAAAGAGGTTGTCAATCACCATCGCCACATTGAACCCCATAATTAAACGAAAATAACATAACAGTCCTACTTGTTTTGACTCAACTCATAAGCTACAACAGCTGCGGCCCTAGCCTCTTCGGAAACAACATCTGGACTTAGACCCCAACAAGCTTCGATGCCGTGCGTTGCATGTGTCCCTATCTGCACAACGGCCATGACACCGGTATCATTTATAGGAATGTTTTGTGTAAGTCCTTTCGCACGATCAACCCCCAAGCGAGCCATGTCTCCTCCTCCCGCATCATGTAAGCTTTGTTTTAAGAGATACGGAAACATTTCGCATAGTGGGGTGAGCTCCATCATCACGTAATTGTCACTACAGTGGGTGGCGTTGTTGTCGAGAACTAAAACTTTCCATGTTGCACAATCGACGACCAATCCAACCCAATTTTTCTTCCCCATGTTGAAAGGGATGTAGTATGTCACAGGATCTCGACTACCACCTACCTTACATCCTAAATACTCCACCAAAGTTTTTGGGAACACAAACTCCATCTTATTACTCGCCGCTGTGAACCTTGGGTGACTTCTGTTAATTGAAGACATGAAACGAGTGTCGAGTAGCTTCCAAGTCTTCTCTCCACCATCCTTCTTTTGTACCGCGCGTAGCAGGTGCATCAACATATCAACAACCTGCAACGAAATAAGTTGTAATGTGTTAACTGTTTAGTCAACGTTATAATGTTAGTACACATGCAATTAAATTGGATACTTACTCGTGCTGGTTGGACTCTCTTCCTCTCTATTATGTCCATGATGTCCTTTGCCGAGACAGCAATACCCGCCACGTTGATTATGCTAGTTATGACGCGAAGTTAAAGAAAATCATTAAGGACCCCTAACCAAATATATTAACGCTTCAGTTATAAATACTTACAAGTGCCTATTTAGCTTGCTTTCAAGGTCTTCAAATTTCTTTAGTGTCATTGTTGAATCTCCCATATCGAACAGCCGTTTCTGGGACTCTCTTGCTCGGGTTACGAGTATAGGAGGACAGTGGTAGTCGGTTAGCAACACAGGTGGTATGGTTCTCTGCCTCTTGCTTTTCCGGCATAAATTGGTCACACCAATACCATCATCTTCTCTCTCATTGCTGCTATCTTCATGTTCAACATTTGCAAGTTCTTCTTGCGTTAGTCCTAATGAGAACGACGGATCTTCGATTACGGGGCCTGATGCGTTCGTCATGCCTTCCTGCATAATTCACAATTGATACTTACCCACCTAAACAAGACTAACTGTTATTCAGAGTTACACTTTCTCAAATTACAGATATATATACCTTTGTTGGACTGACTATATTCTTCGCACTGTTCATTTGACAACCATCTGAGTTTGCTTGATTGTTTGGTACTTCTTCCTGCATCTCGTGTATCATGTTGTCCTCCTCTACGTCACTGTTCATGTTGATATCTCCTTCCTAACGAATAATGTATTTATATCAGAGTCTACAATTATATGTATCTAAGAGCTTACTCCAAGGTTTTCTATTACATCGACAGGTAAGCCAAGTTCTATGTCACCATATTTACCTTTCTATGGCCGAGCTCTACATTTGTACACATATCTCCATTTGGCAAAAGCTTGGAACGGTCTTCGGCATCGTCCTTATCTCCAACCATTGTTTGGTTCTTTATCTACTCAGGAAAAGAAAATTGATTCATAATAACATTAACGATATATTTCATTTGTAACTGTAAATATACCTGATCTACTCCTTCTTGTTCGTTGAATTCCTCCTCATCTTCCAATGCCTGGAGTGTACTCCAATATTTTATTAGAAATATTCATTTTCACATCATTGTTTCAATTATTGAACTGTAATAGTGTTTTCGGAAATCTTACTTTATACTGAGATACCTCATCTACTCTGTCATTTTTGTGGCTCTGATATGAAGTAGATCCTCTTCCAGTCGCTTCCACTCCTCGGGGGCTTTTGTTACCACTGTTGGTGGAACTGTAAATCCCCTATTAGCATAATAGGTAAAAAAAAGGGTTAATGATAGCCAATAAATAATTTTGCTATTTTACATTAGGTAAACAAACTTCTAACTTACAGCGCACGTTCTTGATGTTTCTCTCGGGAATGTGTATTGTTCTATGTTCCCTAACACGTTCCGTATAGCCGCCTCATGTTCTGTCTCTTCCACCTCAAATTCATTTCGTGGTCCCTTGTCAACGTTGCAATCCAACTCAGACGATTTTATCTGCCTTATAACTTCGTCCCGTATAGCACCACTTAAACTTTCCACCATATCTTTCTTCATTTGATCAAACTTCTCCTGGAATGTGCGTGTCAGTGTTTCCTCTAATTGCGAATACTTTGATTTCAACTCTTCCATGTTACATTTTTCGTCCTCCAGTTTTGACTCCACTGAAACTACCCTTGCATGGAGGTTACCAATGACAATGTTTTCCTCCTTCTCTCTCTCGGCGTTTCCTGTGGCTGAAGATTTCTTTCTAGATTTACGTTGTTTAGCCTGACCCTTTCCTTCGACCTTCATATGCTCAACATCAGCTTTACTTGCCCCACCTTTGAACGTGCCTATGGTGAACCTATGACCTTTCTCTATTAGCTCCTGAAGATAGTCGATTTTCTCGTCTACCAACTCGTCCCTCCAAGTAAGGGTTGATTCATCTATCCGTTGTTTTGGATCCTGATCTATTATGCATTTAACCAAAACCTGAAACCCAGTTTTTAACAGAACCAATTATTTCTAACCCCAACAACATATGCATATGTAATAAAAATCTGGACTTACATTGTCCTTCTTGTCAATTGTTCGGGCGTGGCTTGGGCTAAGCGTATGTTTCCTACTGGATCGATCTCCACCTTCGTCTTCGTTGTCATCGCTTTCTGACTCAGAAGAAGAGCAACTCTCTTGAACAACCTCTGTCAGTGAAGGAACTGCCTCCACCATAACCAGCTGTATTGCTAGCGCAAAACCTTTAATAGAAATTGTATTCTGTGACAGGCTTACTTCGTCTCTTTCTTTTATGCTCCCAATCAACATCTCGAATGCCTGTCGCCCCCATGGGTATTGAAAAAACTCCTCTAAATCTTCTATTGCCTCTGCATGTTCTTTTGGTATTTTCATCTTCAAGTTTGTCGGCAGTAGTATAGAAGAAAGTATGGCCAGGCATGCGTACTTAACGCGTATCGACTTGTCTTTAACCGTTCTTTTCCTAAGCATCTTGACAACTGAAGCAACTGTCACCACTTCCACTTTGCCAAACAGTTCAGGCCAATAGGGTTTCTCTGAAATGTTTGCCTTCATTTTGAGTCTTGACTTTGGGGGATAATGGTAACACGGGAGACCTGTCACAATCGCAAACTCACGCAAAGAAAATCTTATAGGTTGACCGGCGAATCTGAACCAAACCTCGTATTTCTTGTTAATCTTCAATTGTCGGGACATGATATACCTTGCAAACCTTCCAGAAAACAATGGCTTCTCGGCGATTTCCAACATTTTTCCAAAACAGGATTTCTGGATGATGCTCTTCTCCTCCTCGTCGAGACTATTAACTATGCGTTTCAGAGCCCTAGAAGACTGGTAGGTTAGTACGCGCACGCCGACAGGTTCTTCACCGGCGGCAAACATCAACTCCGGGAGCATGTCTTCGTCAATTGCCTCGTCTCTGTTCTCTTCATTATTTACTGCTCCCGATCTCATACTTAACAATTTCGGGTGAAGAAGTAGCTTTCTTCCAGATCTGGAAATTTAAGTGAGAGAATTGGAAACAAAAAACTAAGTAAATGAAATAGAGTCAAGGGGTTTTGAAATATGTAGACTTCCTCGTAGCAATGATAACCTATAACCTAGACCACTAGCTATTCTGACAGAGGAAGACGAAATGTTTTTCCCTACGTAGGGGTAATGCAGTCAATTAACCACTCCCGTTCTTTGCACTTCCTATACGTTACTACATACCTAAATATCTTTCTATCTGTGTATATTGAGCTAATTAGCTCAATTTTAAAAGGCAAATGATAATTTATTATAAGGTCCAATATTAACTTTTCCACCATCTTTTATTTCGAATATAATTAGTTTTTTTTTTGGATGTATGATGTCTTCCTAGTTAATCTAATAGTGAAGCCAAAAAGTATTAAGCTATCTTAGCCACGTTAGTGAAGATACTTATATTAATCTTTAATTAGCTTTTTTTTTGTCCAAAGTGTGTTGTCGTTTGGAGACTATGAAGCTTTTAAACCTTTGTGAGAACCGCCCTTAATTACATTTAAGTGTATTTACTTAGTCTTTAGTCATCTCCCACTCGCTTCTTATCTCGTAATTAACACACTTTTTGGGAATAAATTAATTTAGGAATCAGATTTCAGTTTTGATCTACAAGTTATAGACTTTGTTACAACCATCTTTTAATATATAGTATAGCAGTTAAAGGAAAGTGTAGTAGTAGGCATGTAAAATGAGATTGGAATAAGGATTTTTTTTATACTAAAACTTAGGTTGGGTTCTTAATCAAGTACCTAACTTTTTTTTTTTGGCAATGAAAGAAAGCTTTAGTGCAAGTCAAGCATAGTCATATGCACCTCCTTTCGACTTGGAACAACCAAAACATAATAATTGCTACGTCTTGTTTACTTTCTTAATTTGTTTTTAACAATATTTGTTAGGATTTTAATTTCAATGTTTATAGGCTTTTGAGCCCTTAATCGATCCATGAGAATTTAGACACGTGGGTACTGGAGTACTCATCATCCCCTAGGGACCAAAATCAAAAGTTAATTACCTTTAATTTCTTTGGTCAAAAATCAAAGGTGACCAAGAGGAAGCTATTACTATTATAGAAGTCATGAACAAAGCAACTCAGAAAAACCACATCCTTTATTTTATCTTGTCACTTAAGTAATGAGTAGGTGTGAATGAATCACTCTACAAGATTGCATCCGTGAAGATGTTACATTCGCTTCCAAAGCCGTTAAACTAAAAGAAGCACACAGTTCATGAAAACGCAACACTCATACAGAAGCACAATCTGATAAATCTTGTCAAATAAAAAGCAGACCACTGTCTAGTGATTTACCAAAGGAAACTACTCTATCTTTTATTAACTAATAATAACCAATCGAAAGCTGTTTGTGCCCCCACACAGAAGCACAAATAAAAACGTTAGAAACGTTATTAGAAACGTTAAAGTTCATCAGGTTTGAAAGATATATCTCGATGTCTTCGTTTTATATGGTTCTAGTCTAGTCTCTTAGGCCATCTTCCCAAAGCAAGCGTAATCCACATGACTTTATCTCCGCGGAGGGAGACTCAGTCTCCTTCGATAAACGTAGATCAGAACGGATGGAGAACTTTCTGATTGAGTCGCTTATGTTTTTTATCCCGCGGATGATAATCAGATGATCAGTACTATGAAAACTACTGTCCTGGCAATGGAAGAGATTCGGTAGAAGATACAAATAAAAGTATCTTTCATCACCCCAATCATAGTCATAAGAGAGTGGCAAGAGTTGTATACGAAAGGGCCTCTCGCAAGCAACCACAATACATCCATCAAACCCTAGCAGCTTCGAGGTTGGCTGGGGTAAGTGAGTTATATTGGAATTTCCTATCCCTATATCATCAAAGTAATTTGGCACCTCGGTTCCAGGGAAGCAAGCGAATCTTGGTGAATCCTACAAAAAAAAAAAAAAAGAGATGATCAATTTTCATGCTGTGTAATGCAAGTCACATAAGTTGAAAGCATACCTCTTCGTCTTGTCCCTTGGTAAGAAACTGAGAGATCGGATGTTCATTATGTTTTAAACAGAAGCAATGGCTAAGATCAAGGTGTTTTACAGAATGGTTCAAAGGAAAGGAGATAGTTTCCAGGGATTCACATCCATGTGCGTATAGATACTTGAGGCACAATGGGAACCCTTCTATCTTATTGAGTCTCTTGCACTTATTAAGGCAGAGAGTTCTCAAAAAGGAAAGGTTTCCCATGCTTGATGGCAATGTCTCAAAGTCGTTGCTGCTAAGATCTACATATGATAGCTTGATAAAATTCCCAAGCTGCTCTGAAATTGACTGAATGTTGCAGTTGTCAACCCAAAGCTCACGCAATTGCCACCTGTCCCAGTCTTTTTCAGCATGAGATGTTTTGAACAAGGATTGGAGGTTCTTACAGCCAGAGAGTTTGACTGTCTCCACCTGAACTAACTCTGGCAACGCTTCAAGTCTTCTACAGTTACAAAGACTGACGTGTTTCAACTTGGGAAGCTGATTCATGGTTTCTGGTAAAGTCTCGAAATCATTGCCGCTCCAGTCCAGTTTCTGTAGGGATTTCAAGACGCATACGTCATCTGGGATCACTTCGATGTTTAAGTTGATTAGATTTAACTCCTTCAAGAAGGGAAACATGGAAAGGCTATAACAGAGGAAACTTGCACCAACACTCTTGTAGTTGAACCTGATGATCTCTACCAAATTAAATCCATGGAACTCTGACATAGGTGGTTGTTGCTGCTCCCTCTTTGTTAATTCATCAGGTGCTTGTTGCTCAGTACTAAAACAGAGGTGATCTGCGTTGCCATCAAGCCACAACATCTGAATATGTATGTTTCCTCCAATGGATAGATTCTCAATGGACTCCATTTCCATTTCTTCGCCCGAGAAATACAAAGCAATCTGACGGCAGCGCGCTGCCAATTCCCTTATAGTGATGTGGTAGCTACTGAGATCATCGCAGTAAGAGAGATCAAGCTTCGTCAGCCTAGTAAGGTTACTGATGGACTCTGGAATTCTCTTCAGTCTCTTGCAGCCTTGAGTAATTAATTCCTCCAAATTAACGGCCATTGAAAGATCTGGAAGTTCCTCCAGCTTTTCAGAGCCTGATAAGTCCAATCTTCTCAAGTTTCGCATTCCCTGAGCATTGATCAACAAATTCGTAAAAATATAGTAACCATAAGATGCATGGAACAATGAGAGATTTTACCACAGTTTCTTTCCAGAAGCTCGTGAGATTGCTGCGATGTAAACTGATTTCAACAAGGTCTAGAGGACGGAATCGGTGAGGGAAGGTTGTCAGGGGAAATGCGTCCCAATGTAGTAACCTTAGCCTTGATGAAAGTAGATATGCATCGCTACTACCTAAACGCAGCTTGGTCTCCATATGGTCCAGGTGCTTGTATACCTTGAGGAATCTGAGAGTGTCGTCCTGATATATTGAATAAACATTTAGATGCACCGCATGAACCATATCACACATGTGTAGCGCCATGCATTCCGTTGGATCGTTTGTCTGTTGGGGTTGAAAACGGAAAAGTCAGTTTAGCATACAAACAAGCTAAGTGCAAAAAAACACAAAGAACAAAAACAGATGTTTTAGTTAGTGTTTGAGCATGATTAACCCGGAGTTCTTAGGGTGGAATTTTTAGAATTTTCAGTTTCTTAATTTCTGCTAAGAACTCCATCCTAAAAACCCCGGATTAATCATGGTCAAAGGGCTTACCCCGTTACGTTTAAGCACTTTACAAATTTCATCAGGATCCCACAAGACTCTTCCTCCCCCTTGCTTATGCATGGATTCTTGTTTCAGAATTGCTTTTAAAGTTTGATCTACTAAAGAATGAATCTTTATATATCCACCAGCTGTGATTTCAATGAGAGACTTCTCAGCCAATATTTTTATACTCAGACAACCCTGTAGCTCACCATCATCTAGAAGAGTAGTGGCACGCCGGAGAGGCTCTCCCTTCAAGAGACACGCTACATGAAGAAATACAATTCTATCTGCTTCCTCTAAGCCATTGTAACTAATCTTCAAGATCTCAATGACATGTTCATTAGGAGCTCTTATAAATCTACATAACGCATCCTTCCACTCCATATAAGATTCCACTCCTCGGAAAAATAAACCATAAGCTTCAATAGCGGCCGGAAGACCTTGAGCGAGGCAAGACGCTCGGATCGACAATTTTTCATAAACATTAGTAGGGGGAAACCCTCCTTCAAAAGCCAACTGGTTAAACATCTCAAGAGCATCATCACTATCCAAGCACTTTACTTCATATACAATTTTTACTCCGCATGAATTGAGCAACCCCTTGTCCCGTGTTGTTATGATGATTCTGCTGCCTCGACCCAACCAGGCAAAATCTTTAGCGAGGGCATGTACATGTTTCACGTCATCCACGTTATCAAAGACAGCAAAGACTTTAAGATTTTCAAACCTCGCCTTAATCTCCTGTGGTCCAAGTTCTACGCTCGACTTCTCCGAGAGAGTACAGAGCGTAGTTGAAATGAACTTTTCGCGTAGAGACGACACGCCATGCTCTCTACAAATCTTGGAAACGTTTTCAATGAAACAACGAGATGGAAATAGCCTTGAGAACCGGTTAAAGAGACACCTTGCGATGGTGGTTTTGCCAATGCCTCCCATTCCCCAGATTCCTACCATACGAACCTCATCTTCAGACTCCATACACAAGAGAGGACTCAGCCGTTCCATGTGATTTTCCATTCCAACAAGATCACTGAAATCTACTGGCTGCATAACAAACAACTTCTTTGATATCCCTTCCACAATATCGTCAATCATCATGGCCTCGTCCTCACTATCATATAGAAAAATCAACAGAAAAATTATGAACTTTTTTCCAGAGGTATGGTATTGGTAGTGAAAAACTTACCAAGTTGCAGTATCCTTGCCTACTAAGCTAGCGATCTGCGTGAGAGCTTCTCTCCATTTCTCCACCTTATTAGCCATTTCCAAGACTTGGTACTTTTGCAATGTGAAACTCCCAGTTTGATGTCTCACATCCGAAGGATCAACTCCATAGAAAACAGGGAAAACTTTCATCTCCTTCTTCAAGTAAAGATCCATTATCATCAGGAGCTCGTCAAGACACCACCTAGATGAAACGTAGTTCTTTGATAGAACCACAAGAGCGAATCTTGATTCTTTGATGGCTATGCTGATTTCTTCGGAAATGGAGTCGCCAATCTCTAGCCTTTGATCATCTTTGAAGGTGGCAATACCCCTGTTGACAAGTTGTTTATGCAAATGGCTGACAATGTTCTTGCGGGTGTCTTCTCCCCGGAAACTGAGGAACACATCGTAGTACTTCGGAGACGAAGATGACGACGATGAAGCCATCGGGTCTCTATGGATCAAACTATGTGGCGAGAAAGGAAATGACAAAATCATAGCAAATTCAAGGTTCAATTCAAGTAGTCACACACTTGCACGTTCTCAATTAGGGGTGGGCACGGATCGGATATCCGGGTTTTCGAAGGTATTTGTGATTTGCTTCGTATGTTACGGATATCTGATTTTGGTATTTGCTTTGCTTCGGAAAAATACGGATATCCGGAAAAACGGATATCCGAAAAATAAACAGATATTTGCGGATATTTACGAATACTTACGAATATCTTATCGGTTAAAAATAATCTT